CGTCTGGTTACATGTGCAGGTTTCTTGACGTCTGGTTACACGTGTAGGTAGGTTTCTTGACGTCTGGTTACATGTGCAGGTTTCTTGACGTCTGGTTACATGTGTAGGTTTTTTGACGTCTGGTTACATGTGCAGGTTTCTTGACGTCTGGTTACATGCGTAGGTTTCTTGACGTCTGGTTACACGAGTAGGTTTCTTGACGTCTGGTTACACGAGTAGGTTTCTTGACGTCTGGTTACATGTGTAGGTTTCTTGACGTCTGGTTACATGTGTAGGTTTCTTGACGTCTGGTTACATGTGTAGGTTTCTCGACGTCTGGTTACATGTGTAGGTTTCTCGACATCTGCCATTTCGCTTAGACAGAGAGGTTTCCATAGAAACGCAAATTTGTTTTTGCTAAACTTTAACCCCTTCCGTATGTAAAATCCATAAAAAATTATAAATTCCGTTACAAAATCCATAACCCAACGATGACTTTACCATTGAAACATACAGGCTTCCATCTAATAATTATTGTTTTTGTCAAAACTTGAAATTTTCATAATTTTATGTTTTAATCGTATCAATTTTCTTTATCCACGCCTAACTTCCTCACATTGAACACAGTAACAAAAATGTGAACCGTTAGGTACTAGATGTGATAGGGTGAACGTGATGATTTAGGAAAAAGTAATAACATTTCAAGCAACCTAAGTTTACATTTATAAATATATTTTCATGTTTTAAAAACAAAATTAACCGAAATAGACATTTTACATTTTCTAGGTGGATAAATATAACTTTATAGGACATGCACTTATAATCAGGATGATGTTTATTTGAAGTAAAAAAATAAACTTGGGTAGCTTGTAAAATAAGATTATAAAGTAAATAGATTTGAATTGATTCGCTTTAAACAAATCCGGTTAGATTAATCAGAAATAAATGAACAGTACATCCTGTTATAAGGGCGATGCTGTGAAAAAAGAACAAACAAAAACAGGTGTTTTGTTTACATAGTGATGATTCTAGTGAGGGGAGGGGTGGGGGAGATGTCACAGATTTAGTTCCTGGTCTTAAACAGGGTAGACATGACTCGAGGCAGTGGCGTAACATCCCTGTAACAAACAGTTTCTTCCAGGCATCTCTTATATGTTTTCTATATAATTTCCATTTTGTTGGGGGGGGGGGGCTAAGTCGAAATGGAATTTATATAGAAAACACACTTTTACCAGTGTCCGCCCCCCCCCCCCCCTCCCGGGAAAATATTAAATGCCCCCCTCCCCCCCGGAGAAAAAAGTCTGGAAGAAAACTGGTAACAAAGGTGGACACAGGGACCCCGAGCTATTTTAATAAATAGTTTCTTTTTTTTTCCAATAAAAAATCTCATGAAATTATTGATTATTAGTACATTGATGAAGCCTATTTGTTGTTAAACAGACATCTTTAATACTGTAATGAGCACCTAGTTAAGCAAGATCTGCTTGTTAACTTCAATTAAAGTTCTATTGATGTTTCAGAAAGGCTATGGCCATTTAAAAAAAATATTTTAGATCTAACTTTATAGGATTGTGTTCCAATATGTGAAATTTAAAAAAAAAATCAACATAGTAGCTTTACGTGACTTATTAGAACAATTAAGAGCGTATTTATTTTTGCAACAATTCAGTTTCTATCAACTGAAGTCAAGGGTTCAATGTATAGCTAATACTACATGTAACATGTTTTGTTAGTGATTGTTACGTCCCTTGTATTATGTATAATGTGGTTGCGTCCCTTGAAGAAAAAAAAGGTGTTTTGTTTACATAGTGATGATTGTAGTGAGGGGAGACGTCACAAATTTAGTTCCTGGTCTTAAACATGGTAGACATGACTCGAGGCAGTGGCTATAAATGCATACACATAATCAGCTAGTCAAATCTTGTTGACAGAGATCGTACAAGTGATAGTGCGATCGAATGAACGCACACATATTACTATTACACATTAAAACTTTATGGAAATTCCGCCTATTTGTATAGATTGTATTCAAGTAACAAATATTGAGTAATTTATTGTTTAAGACTTTGAAGCTACATTTATTCAATCATTCAATCATGTACAGGTGTATGTACATTTACATTGACGACTTTCATTTTCATGGAGTTTTTAATAAAACAAGTTAATTAAAAAGTCTAGTGACATTTAAGCGCAATTTCCTTATGTTATCTAAAAATAGCTCTGTCGTAGCGTAAATCAAGAGCAGGGTTAGTAAGACCATTGGTTAAAATACATGTTTTATTTACAATAGAGTTACATGACTAAAAACCATTGCGCGCCTAGCTACTGAACGTGATGACGCAGCCATTGAACGTGATGGCGTAGCTATTGAACGTGATGACGCGTGTGGTGTGGTTGGAAAAAATGCCTACTAATTCGGTCAAAATTTTAATTAATTCAAAAAAATTTTTGTGACCGAACGAAAGGATATTTTTGAAAACTTTCTTCGGCAATATTGTTCTAAATTATGGCAGGAATCGATTGGTACATGTTTCAAGTCGCTAAGTGGGCTAGTAGCCGAGATATGGGCCAAAAACTTCATTTTTTCGAGGTTTTTTGGCTTTTCCGGGAAATCCATGAAAGAAACCCGGAATTTTTATGGCCTATGCTCATCCTCGTAACTTGCTTAACATAATTGCTTTTGGAACTAGTCCTCGATATTGCTTCGTTGAGGAGGAGATACGACTTAAAGCTGCGGACACACATTCATACATTCATCCATCCATCCATCCATTCATCCATCCAGAAATGACGGGTTAATAAACGCAATTCTCCAGAATGGAAATTGCGCTAAAAAATGTTTGCAAGAGTGGGATAAGAACGGTAACTGTAAATAAGTTGACAATATGAAGACATAAATAACTGGAGTTATCGTTACTTCGAAGTTTTGAGTTATGACGCGAACATCACAAAAACTAACCTCACATACTAGAGTTTAGATGTCTAGATCTAGATCTAAATAAAATTACTAGATCTAGGAAGAAAATGTGATCTGTCATGTGTTCTGGAATTAAAGAGGGTAGTTCAGAAGGGCACAAGCGGCTGCAAACAAACATTGAATCTTATTTTTTCAAACTTGAAATAATTAATTTTAATATGTAAATGTTAATTTTCAGAAAATGATTAAAATTTAAAATGTATTTATTTTGAACACAAAACTCATCGTTTTGATTAAAAAAAGGATAACATTATCTAAACAAATGACCTCAAATAAAAATCAAAAACGAAAATTCAGAGTAAAGAAAAAAGAAAACATTATTTTTATGTGCAAAAGATGGTTTAACATTTAAATTGAAATATTTTTGCAAATGGGTAATCTATCGTTTTGGGTACGTAAAATCGCCCGCGGCTTTTAATGTACGAAAACGTTACCACATTGTCAAGGCTTTAATAGAAGTATATTGTGATATGTTTGTGTCAAATATTATAGATAAATGAATAATAAACCTAAATCAATGGCTAAATAATATATCGATATAGGCCAGAAATTAACTTTAAACAGCAGTATCTGATAGCAAGATTTGCTATATAAACAGCAGCCATTTGTAAAATAGAGTGGCTTCCCCCTGAATCTTGCGCTATAAGCTTATAAAAATAAAACTTAAACAAGATGGTTGCTATAGTAAATGAGCATGGTTGCATCTGTTGGAAACACAGTTTCTTCCTTGAATCTCTTCGGCATTGCCCCCCCCCCCCCCCCGGAAATTTTTTTTCCGCCCCCCCCCCCGAACGAAATGAAATTTATATAATTTATATAGAAAATATATACTTTTAACAGTGTCCGTCCCCCCGAAGAAAGTCTACCGCCCCCCAAAAATTTCAAGTGCCCCCCTGAAGAAAAAAGTCTGGAAGAAACACTGGTTGGAAACATGGCTAGTCTTCATTTATTACGGAAAAGTTTTAATTCAATTATTTAAAAACAGGTACATAAATGAAACAAGGAAACATTTTTGTATTTTAAAAATCATAAAATGTGAAATAATTATTAAAATTTAACGAGTCACCTGTTTTTCACATTACAAGTTGCGGGCGATTTTACGTACCCAAAACGATAGATTACCTGAAAATGTTTATGTTCTGAAATGATGATTTTCTGATTCTTTTTGGTCTAATATTTTAATAAATTTATGTAATGTTCATTACGATCACATTGTAGAAAAACATGGTTTGATGTAATAACTGAATACAAACAATAAGTCAACATTCAAACACAAAATTATTGCAGGAAAAAATTATTTCTTACGAACTCCAACAAAATTAAACCTTGTCTTCTAGCTATTCTGAAACTATTTGCAGACTGCCTTTGCTAAAAACTTTATATGGATTGACTACACAATTATCATGTGATGAATCCTAAACTAAAATTATTAAATCTATATTTGTGTTACAAGATTAGCATTTTAAAATATATAATAAGAAAATGAAATAATTTTCTCACTGGTAATGTTAAAATTAAAAACAATTATGAAAGGTAAATAAACAGTTGAAAAAATTATGATGTAAAATCACATGTTTAATAAAATATGTAACTTACATAATAAAAATTCTAAAACACAAAGCAAAACAAAATAATGTGACAAATAGTCCAAACATTTGTGTGTTGTCTACAATCTAGCAGTGGGATGAGTATTATACTTGTTTAATATTTAATATGTAACTGGCATTATAATTTTTAGAACACAAACTAAAAGTAAAAAAAACTTAAATTTTCATAAAATATTTGTAAAATATTGGAGTAGCTTTAAAAACACCCTTTCCAAAATATCCTATGTATTAAGTCTTTCAAATAATTAATTAAATATAGATATACAATGTTTTATAAGATCAAACTTAAAAAGTATGTATTTAAAGCCATGTTATAAAACTAGGCCTCATTTTGTAAACAATACGAATTTTGAGTTTTAAAAGAACTGAATAAGAGTTTTGCAATCAAAATATGAAATTCAAACACAAAATTATACTAAAAATTATTTTTAACCAGATCTCTATTGCTGTGTAGGTCTACTTTGAAAACATTGTAACCAATCAGATTTTAAAAATTTTCAAAGTAGTGGATCAGTGAAGGGCCGGTGTAGGAGTTGTTTTCAGTGCAAGCTTGCTGGACATTTCTTGTCATAGAAGGAGGGCCACAGCTAAAGACACCTATCTGGTGGACCTGTAGGAACATTTATACATTTAGGAAAATACTAAACATGACAGAATTCAAAAAGAAAATCTTGTTTTAGGAGATTCATTTATAAAATGTCACTCAAAACTTTATTTTTATTTTAGAAATATTCAAATATGTTTTGAGTTTATTATTTATTATTTATAATGTACACTAATTTATGAGTTTAAGATATCAGTTTTTGAACACTTACATTTTTATGCACAAATTTGATGGCTTCAAAAAAGTCTTGAAACTTTGGACGGCCAAAATGTGTTTTTGCTCTAAGACCAGTAAACATACTCACACCAGCAATTTTCTGGAAGTGACGCTCACATATATACTAGGGGAAAAAGAATTAAAAACCATAAACTATTACTTACAAAAAATAGAGGTACAAAACATATTTATTGCAAACAATAAAATGCTTAATTACACAAAATACAGGGGTCGGCGTGGTCGAGTAGCTCATGGTTGCTAAGCCGAAAAGTCTCGAGTTCGAACCCTCGGGCAGATGAGGCTCGTTAGCTGGGGACAGGCACTCTTCTAGGAGAGACAACTCCAAAATTAAAACAACTGCTGCCTTGTAGTTTGTTCTTGGTTGGACAAAGGCTATTGAAGCAAATCCAAAAAGAAAAGCAGGCTGAAATCGGAGTCAATGGCCTCAATGGCGCATAATCAGTTGACACGTAACGCTTAATTGTGTTGGAGGCGTGGTTGAGTCGGCAAAAAGCTCATGGATGATAAATTCGAACAAAGTCTCGAGTTCAAACCCACTGGCAGATAAATCTCAATCCCCTTCAACACTAATAATTAAGAACGAAGAAGAAGAAGACACAAAATACTCAATAATATTAGGTATATTAAAATTAATAAAAAAATATTTTAAAAAATCTAGATTTTAACAATTAACTTTTTTGTTAACACTCTGTTCACTTTAATAATAATAAAGGAATAAGGACGAAAGTTTATCAGGTAATTTTATCGTAACTGTAGTGCTAAATTAAGTGACCATTAAGTCAACCCACCAACATAGTGGTCCTAAGGTCAAACTTTTCCTTGAGCTGTGTGATACAGATCTGGACATCAACAAATCCTTGAGTGTCTGCAGCCTCAACTTGTCTGATGATCTCAGTCATCCACTCAAAACTCTGCTGGGTTCTTGTCACCCACACAAAGTACACCTTTTGTTTTTATAAAGACAACACGATAAATAATTAACTGTATGATCTCAGTCATCCACACAAAGTACACCTTTTGTTTTTATAAAGACAACACAATAAATAATTAACTGCATGATCTCTGTCATCCACTCAAAACTCTGCTGGGTTCTTGTCACCCACACAAAGTACACCTTTTGTTTTTATAAAGACAACACGATAAATAATTAACTGTATGATCTCAGTCATCCACACAAAGTACACCTTTTGTTTTTATAAAGACAACACAATAAATAATTAACTGTATGATCTCTGTCATCCACTCAAAGTACACCTTTTGTTTTTATAAAGACAACACAATAAATAATTAACTGCTTGATCTTGTCACCCACACAAAGTACACCTTTTGTTTTTATAAAGACAACACAATAAATAATTAATTGCATGATTTTGTCACCCACACAAAGTACACCTTTTGTTTTTATAAAGACAACACAATCAATAATTAACTGCATGATCTCTGTCATCCACACAAAGTACACCTTTTGTTTTTATAAAGACAACACAATAAATAATTAACTGCATGATCTCGTCACCCACACAAAGTACACCTTTTGTTTTTATAAAGACAACACAATAAATAATTAAAGTACGATCTCAGTCGTTCATTCAAAACTCTGCAGTTCTCAAGATGAATATACTTGTTTATAAATAATTATAATTATTTTTGTTACACATCAAAGGGAATAGGTAATATATATTTTCTTAAAGTGAAGTAAAATTCATTTCTAATTGTGGCTAAACAATGTTTTCTTATAAAATTGTTGCCATCCTTGCCAAATATTCTGCAGACCATTGAATATATACAAAATAAACTAAACTTGATAAAAAGAGAGACTGGAAACTACATGATGTAGACCTAACTTATCCTTTCAATGTGTGTTTTTGTTCTACATCTTTAAGAAGTGAAACTCCGAATGTGTTGGTTTACTACAGCCATAGTTTTATTGGTGCAAATGTTGATTTCACAAAATTGTGTGCTTTCTGCAGATGTCAATAAGCATTGGTCACAATTTCCTAAGGTTTTAAACTCCCAATGGTCATTTATGTCCCTAGGTGTGTTTGTGTCACTATGTGTGTTTGTGTACTACACACTTGTAGTGTTTGGCAAACTACTAAAAATAAATTGAAAAACCTTTAGCTTTCACTGTTATTTTATATAATATTGAACACTGAAAACATGTTTGTTTAAAAATATAATCATGACTCCCCACCTTCTGACATGGTATCCTGGTGCTGACATCCTTGGCTCTATGAGCAATGTCTTTAAGGATGGAGGCAAAAGGTGTGACTCCAATTCCTCCACCCACCAACACAGAGACAGGAAATCTAAACCAGTCTTGGTGGCTTTCACCAAATGGTCCATCTATATAAGCCTAACAATAGACAATCATGGATGTTCATTTATTCAATTAAAACAGTTGAAATATTTTAAATTCAACATGTGGGTACTTCAGAATGGATGAGAAATACTCTTTTGATGCTAACATTTATTCACATAAATATCAAATGATTAAATAAATTAAATAAGGAATTGTTTTTTGCTAAAGTCGTTGCCTTCAAATGGAATCACACTCATGCTTGTGTGTGTGTTGGGGTTAAGATTCTGTGACAATGTATAAGGAGCAGGTGGGGGTCAAAATGTGAAGACACACTTTTGTATTTTAAAAATGTATTCTTAAAAACTAAATTTTAGCAGTTATTAAGCATTTTTAAAAGAGTTTTTTTTTCCATATATTGCAATAGAAATGGATAAGTCAATATTGACTGAGTTCACTAAATGTGTTAGAAAGACAACAAAGTTTTAAAATAAAAAAAAAATTTGCAATTTTCAGCCAACGTGTCTTCAATTTAAGTTTGGGGTTAGGGGAGGTAAAAATTGAAATAGGAAGATGTCATTGAAGATTAATGCTTAACTATAAAATTAAATGTTTTAGATTAAACTGTTTTTTTTAAAATGTACATTCAATTTTAAAATTTGCAGTTGAAAGTAAAAAAAATGTTACCTTAGGAAAGCTGACTTTATTAGGATTGTTAGGATCAAACAACTGCCTTAAATTATTGGTCCATGGTCCAACAGCTCTTATATGTAAGCTGATGTTTTTTTCATGTGGGGCGGATGTCAGTGTGAAGGGGTGGTACTCTCCCTTGCCTAGCTGTGGAATGGCTATCCTGACCCATTGCCCAGACTGGTAGTTGAAGCCCAGGGGTCTCTTGATTATTATATTTATCACACCTGGTACAGAATACAGATACAAATATTGTTTAAACTTAGTTTTAGATTATATATATATATATATATATATATATATATATATATATATATATATATATATATATATATAAATTCATGACTTAGTTAGATTTAATAGTTTATAAAATGTCTTGAAAATCCATTTATATAAAGTTTAAAATTAAATAAGAATTAAAATATTTAGTTCAACATGTTATCATGAAAGTATTTTATTGCATGATATCATAAACACATCTCATTGTTTCTGTATTGTTAAACTGAGTTAAGGCCACAAGACAAGGACATACCCGATGGAAGTAGAACTGCCTTGTGGATGGGCAGAAGAACTTTGTTTCTGCTGACTGATACCAGCTTGTCTAAGACAAATAGAACCATTGGCCCAAGGAAATAATTTGGCCAAAGTGGTACTTGTACCAGACGAGCATGGCCGTGAAGAAATAGCAGGATGTAGATCAAAATATATAAGCTGCAAAATAGATAACCTATATCACATAGAATCATTGTTCATCTTTCACTGGTATTATATATAAAAATATTGTTTGGTATTAAAATTATATTTTACAAAATACAATAATGGTTTTTAATATGATCCAATTTTTAGAGAACTGACTTGATTAACTTTTTAAAAAAAATAAGTCCATGCACAAAATTTTAATTTTAAACATTGCATAAATTACTTAAATTAAAAGCTTATATAATGCAATATTTAAAGAAAATTGATCATTTACTTATGTGTTGCACTGAAATACTTGAAGACATTCCGTCTGGCATATGGCATGGCAAAAACATACATCACAACAATTACAAAAACCAAGGCAATGCCTGTTACACCTGGGACAGCAAGATACATTTTTGTTAGTCAATTACATCTCAAAATAAACATGTCTGTGATGTAAATTTTAAATCTAAATTTAAAAAAACTCAGTAATTCACATTCTTTAAATATTGACTTCAGTAAACAGCTTCTTGAATAGAAAAGGCAAAATTAATTGTACAAATACAATGCTTGCAATATTAAACAATAATTCTGTTGAAATGAAATTAATGCCTAAAACTTTAATCAATATAAATAGCAAGTTTTGCACAATTTTAATTAATTTACCAGTTATAGTTTGATATGTCCAGTACTGGAAACTTGCCAACACGTGTGTTCTAAATAATTATTGCAAACAACATTTAGCACAAAGTTTAGGATAATTAATATAATAATTTATTTTTACTTAGAAATAACAAAGATGCCATAAAGTTATTAGATAATGTTTTTTCTAGTGTCAAAAATATAATATTATATTTAATTGAATAACTTAAATTTGTCATTAAAATTATACTATTGATAAACTTTCAAAGAGAAGAATATTTATTCTAGTCTAACTCTATTTTTAGAGTCCTTCAGGAGAAATATTTCTAGCTTAGAAAAAAAAACAGAAATATATTTTGTTAGGTAAAATGCAATTTTTCAACCAAACACTCACGGTCTGAAAAACTCAGTGAAGTAGCAGTTCAGGTCAGAAGAGGGCTGGGTTGCAATGTGATAGAAGTTGATCACATGACCAATCACATGTATCACTAGAAGTTACAAACAAAATGTGAACACTAGAACTGGTCATAGAACATGTATTAATAGCTGAAAACTATTTATTTTTTAAACTTTAAATTTTAATTCCATATAAAACAAATTCTTCCCATACACACCTGTAAATAAAACAGCCAGTGCTGCTATGTAGATGTGCATGGCATGTGCACTGTCAAAAGGTATGTACCTGTGTACGAATGTTTCCCTGCAAGGTGACATATTATTGTGTAAATGGATGTTGTTGGATTAACTTAACAAAAAAATAGTATCATAAGATCTTGTAAAGGATTATTGTAGAATAAATGTCACAAAAATATCAGCTTAATATTATGTAATTAAATAATGTAGGGTAAATGTTACAAATAGTATAAGCAAAGCATAAGATGGTATGAATGAATATTATAAGTTTTAAATGTGGCAAAATAATTTTAAAAAAATAATTATTGTAGGTGAGAATATGAAATAAACTTAACATTACATACAATTAAAATAGGCTGATATAAACATTTGCAAAGATTCTATGTTTGATTGGTTATATTATACCAGAGTTGTAAAAATATGAAAAAATTACAATCTGACTAATACAAAAAAGTAAACAACAGATGAGGAATGTCAACTTATCACATTATAAGTGTAAATATTAAATCTTTATAAAAATAAACTGTATTCACCTGAAGAATGTGAGTGTGTTTTTACTCATGGTGACCAGGAGACTGGAGTAGGTAAACATTTGGGCACTGGCTGCACCTCTGGTCACAGAGACTCCATAACCTGCCATACGTCTCAGGCCAGCATGTTCACGCTCAAAAGAATAATCTAAACAAATGGTTTTACAATCATTTAGTTAAGCAAATAATCTGGACAAAAAGTTTGACATTCATTTAGTCAAGCAAATTATCTGAACAAAAAGTTTTACATTCATTTAGTCAAGCAAATAGTCTGAACAACAAGTTTTACATTCATTTAGTCAAGCAAATAGTCTGAACAACAAGTTTTACATTCATTTAGTCAAGCAAATAATCTGAACAAATTGTTTTACATTCACTCAGCAAAGTAAATAAGTTAAACAAATTATTTTACACTAGTTAAATAATCTGAACTAACAGTTTTATCCCCAGTCAATTAAATAATCCGAACAAAACATTTTACACTCATTTAGCCAGGTAAAATAACCTGAACAAAATTTTATACTCATTTATCCAATAAATTAATCAGAACAAATAGTTTTACACTTTTTTAGCCAATGAAATAATTTGAACAATTTTACATATATTTAACTAATATAATAGTTAGGCATAAAATGAAATTGTCATGTTAAGTTGATAGGCTACTGATAAATGACATTGTAAAGCTAAGCTTATGAAAACTGACATAATTTAATGTTTTGGAAGTAATATCATTTAATTTATTTTAAATAAAATAATGCACAAACACAAAAATCTTAAATATAGAGTTTTAATTTTCATAAAATTTAAGTTTTCTTGTTTGATATATGAATATTTATGCAAAAGTTAAAATTGATTAGAGCAAATAATTGAATGCAAACTTACAATAAGCCCTTTCAATAAATATTCCAAAAGTCACCAGAGTGTAGAGTGTCACCCAGAATATTTGCCTGTTTTTGTTGCTGACATAGCGGGTGAGTGTGTGGAAGAAGACGGCAACTCTGGAAGTTGGGGGTGTTTCAACTTTTGATGTCAGCCTCACTCTTTGTGTTGCTCCTGCAACCATACTTGACCTCACGACTTTTCTGTCAAAATAGTTGTTTTTTTTTAAATTGTGTTTTACCTTTGCACTGTATTTTTTATAACTCAAATTTTCTTTATGGTTTTAACATGTGCATAGACATGTAATAAAATGAAGGTTGGTGGAATATTAATGTTTGTTTCGTTGTTTAATAAATAAATTTAAATTGTTGGTCAAAAGAGCAACTTTATTTTATAACAAAAAATTCTAAAAAAATAAATAAACCTGGTTGTTCATTAAGTAAATGAAAATAATAAACTCACTCATATCCTTTAATAAATGATTTTGTTCGTTCCTTCACAGAACTTTGTTGTTTTCCTAGTTTAGTGACCCCACCCCCAACTGTTGGATGAAAGAAGTTTTCAGTTTAACTTAGATAAGAAAACTTGTCCAGTCAACTAAGTATATATACATATTTTTCTTAAAATCTTTGAACAGCTATCATTACCATACTGTAATTAAAAATGGTTAACACCAGAAATCATCACCTAATTTAAAGGTTGGTAATATAGTTTAATGAAGTTCCTAGCAAAATGGTGTGGGAAAAGACAGGACAAATCCCAGTGGATCAAAAAATTAAAAAAAAGGTTGAGATGGATAAGTCATACATTAAGGAAGTTGAATTACAGAATCCCCAATCAAGAAAAAGAGGAAGATTAAAAAACACCTGTCATTAAAAAATTGAAAAACACATGATAATTATGCAAAAGCCTGGAAGCGAGGTAGGTAAAAATAGCAAAAAATGTAAAAGTATTGAAGGACATTGTAAGTGGTCTGTGTTTCACTGGGAAGAAGAATTTAACTACGCACCATCCAGGTTTAATACTGCTGACTTCCACAAGTCATCATTGCCAGAGAACATAATATTTTTAAAGTCTTCAAAGGTCAGGTAACCCTCGTTATGTTTGCCAGCTTGTTGAAAGACTGTATCCACCATACTGTTTATATCTAGTGCTTTTGTATCTGTTGCTTCGTTCAGCTCCAATAAGGCCCTGCATAATTAATTGAATAAAAAGTTAACCAGAAACTTCATGTAACTAATTTTGAACCAGATTACAATAAATTCACTTCAAAGAAAGAAATAATTTTTACAGTCAAAGAAACTGCTGATGAACAAGTTTATTCAAATAATCAACAACTTAAAAAAATCAGGGGAAAAGTTTTTCATTTCATAGTAAAACTTTTTTTCCAAAAAATGGAATTTGACAGAGTGAAAATTAAATTTAGCGGTCATGAAATTTGAATATAAATTTAAATTAAGAAATTAAAACTATAAAACAAAATTATTATTAGTATAGAAATTGTAAACAAAATAAATTTTATTTTCTTGAAAGCAATGCCTAAAATTCACCTTATCATCTTCTTATAGTTGTCTTTTGATAATTTTCCTTTTCTATTTGTGTCAAACATTTTAAAGAACATCAGAGCTTTTTCTTCTGGTTTACCTTTGAAATTAAAAATTAAGAAAGTTTAAGAATAAATAACTAATTAAATTTACACTTTTTTTGTTGTTATAAAAAATGGAGAAAACCATTTGCAAATAAATAATTCAATCTAAAGCAATATATTCTTAGATCAATAAAAAATAATTTTTATTTTCAAAGTAAAATCTTACAGACCTGATGATAAAATACCGAAATAAGCTTAAAACTTTTTTACACTTTTTTTTTTATTATTAAAAAGGAGAATACAATTTGCAAATAAATAATTAAATCTAAAACAATATATTCTTAGATCAATAATTAATCATGACAATTTTTAAAGTAAAATCTTACAGACCTGATGATAAAATACCGAAATAAGCTTAAAACTTTTTTACACTTTTTTTTTATTATTAAAAAGGAGAATACAATTTGCAAATAAATAATTAAATCTAAAACAATATATTCTTAGATCAATAATTAATCATGACAATTTTTAAAGTAAAATCTTACAGACCTGAAGATAAAATACCAAAATAAGCTTTAAACTCCTCAAATGAAACAAATCCATCTCCTGACGAGTCCACCAACAAGAACATGTTCCTGACAAACAACGAGTGGGGCTGAAGGCCAAGGGCATCAGCAAATTCAGTTCTGGTGAGTCTAGTGGACAGAACTTCCTCAGTTTGCTCAGGGTTGATGTTAGTTCTCATGTCCCCTCCAGATAACTGGGAGGTGGATAAAACAAAAATTATGTGCAGTAAATAAAATAGCAATTATTCTGAGTATATAAAACAACAATTATGTGCAGTATATAAAACAACAATCATGTGCAGTAGATAAAATAGCAATTATGTGCTGTAATAAGCTTACAAATATATTTCATTTTTGTAGTTGTGAAATCAATGTAATTTAAATTTATAGGCTAAATTATACATCTTTTATTGACATTATGTAAATTTAGAAATGCCAAAATTTTTAAACTGAACTAAGGTTATTAAAAGTGAAACAAAATTTTCTAGTGGACCAAAAAAAAAAAAGGAAAATTACCTCAGCTAAAACACTTTTGAAAAATCTGGCCAAAACTTCCTTCCTCTGGTCTATTGTCATGGCCTCCCTCCACATTATTTGTTCCACCAAATGGGGAGCTGGGTTACACAAGGATCACAACATTACTGACTAGAGGCAGTGAACTTTGTGGGTTACACAAGGATCACAACATTACTGACTAGAGGCAGTGAACTTTGTGGGTTACACAAGGATCACAACATCACTGACTAGAGGCAGTGAACTTTGTGGGTTACATAAGGATCACAACATCACTGACTAGAGGCAGTGAACTTTGTGGGTTACATAAGGATCACAACATTACTGACTAGAGGCAGTGAACTTTGTGGGTTACATAAGGATCACAAAATTACTGACTAGAGGCAGTGAACTTTGTGGGTTACACAAGGATCACAACATCACTGACTAGAGGCAGTGAACTTTGTGGGTTACATAAGGATCACAACATTACTGACTAGAGGCAGTGAACTTTGTGGGTTACACAAGGATCACAACATCACTGACTAGAGGCAGTGAACTTTGTGGGTTACATAAGGATCACAACATCACTGACTAGAGGCAGTGAACTTTGTGGGTTACACAAGGATCACAACATTACTGACTAGAGGCAGTGAACTTTGTGGGTTACACAAGGATCACAACATTACTGACTAGAGGCAGTGAACTTTGTGGGTTACATAAGCATTGCAACATTACTGACTAGAGGCAGTGAACTTTGTGGGTTACATAAGGATCACAACATTACTGACTAGAGGCAGTGAACTTTGTGGGTTACATAAGCATTGCAACATTACTGACTAGAGGCAGTGAACTTTGTGGGTTACATAAGCATTGCAACATTACTGACTAGAGGCAGTGAACTTTGTGGGTTACATAAGCATTGCAACATTACTGACTAGAGGCAGTGAACTTTGTGGGTTACATAAGCATTGCAACATTACTGACTAGAGGCAGTGAACTTTGTGGGTTACATAAGGATCACAACATTACTGACTAGAGGCAGTGAACTTTGTGGGTTACATAAGCATTGCAACATTACTGACTAGAGGCAGTGAACTTTGTGGGTTACATAAGGATCACAACATTACTGACTAGAGGCAGTGAACTTTGTGGGTTACATAAGCATTGCAACATTACTGACTAGAGGCAGTGAACTTTGTGGGTTACATAAGGATCACAAAATTACTGACTAGAGGCAGTGAACTTTGTGGGTTACATAAGGATTACAGAATTACTGAATATGGTAGAGGCAGTGAACTTTGTGGGTTACATAAGGATCACAACATTACTGACTAGAGGCAGTGAACTTTGTGGGTTACATAAGGATCACAACATTACTGACTAGAGGCAGTGAACTTTGTGGGTTACATAAGGATCACAACATTACTGACTAGAGGCAGTGAACTTTGTGGGTTACATAAGGATCACAACATCACTGACTAGAGGCAGTGAACTTTGTGGGTTACATAAGGATCACAACATTACTGACTAGAGGCAGTGAACTTTGTGGGTTACATAAGGATCACAACATTACTGACTAGAGGCAGTGAACTTTGTGGGTTACATAAGGATCACAACATTACTGACTAGAGGCAATGAACTTTGTGAGTTACATAAGGATCACAACATTACTGACTAGAGGCAGTGAACTTTGTGGGTTACATAAGGATCACAACATTACTGACTAGAGGCAGTGAACTTTGTGGGTTACATAAGGATCACAACATTACTGACTAGAGGCAGTGAACTTTGTGGGTTACACAAGGATCACAACATTACTGACTAGAGGCAGTGAACTTTGTGGGTTACATAAGGATCACAAAATTACTGACTATGGTAGCTGCAGTAACGTGGGTGCAAAAAGTACTTATACAAAAGGTAGAGGTAGTATCCAGACAAGTTAAAGACAAATACAGGTACAATAGGTGTTCCAGCCCAAGGTCTTCATCAGCACACAATAGTCAGGTTAAAGACTAAAACACATTGACACAACTTTGGACATAGCAGTTAAAACATCTTTTCACATAGACCATGACACCTAATACTGAGACATATGTTAGTATTAGAGAAGGTTTGGACAACGTACTGGGGCAGAGGTTAGTGGCGTGTTGTTTGGTGAATGTTGGATGAAAAGATTTCTGTTTACTTTAACCATCTAACTCAACCATCCAATGCTGACTGTAAAATGTCACATTAAGGAATGATTGAAAAAGTCTTTATTAACATCATGTTATACCTTGTTTATATTCCCATCCATGTTTTTGAAAAAACCTATGCAGCTTGTCATAAGCACTGTCTCTTCCTTGCTGGGATGTAAAGTAGAGGACCTGCCAAAGTACCAAAACAACATGTTGTATTGTAGATTTAGGAATGTTATAAGCCTTAAGTATATTGTCTTCAAATATTGGTATGGTATTTTTTTTTACAGAAAGAAAGATAATGTTATGTTGTGTAATAGACAACATTTGTTCATAATCTATTGTAAGTGGTAAAAAAAATTAATGCTAAATAAAAAGAGCATATTTATTTATATTTAAAAATGGCTTGATACTTGATACAGTTATGTATTAAAATTGTCTCAAAGATAAACTATTATCCTGTTAGCCCTCAAAAATTCAGTTTTTAAAAATTGCCTATTTTTTTACTTGTTATTTTAGGTAAAATGAAAAAGTGATAGTTAATTATAAATACCGTGAGCGGTTATTAATTGACAGTGTAGTATCAATTACAAGGAGCTAACTCTCAATTATAAGTTGTTAGTGATTTTACTTAGTAGTCTCCCTTATCACAACTAGTCATCAGGTACTTCCCACCCGACTAGCACTACACTGTCCTTTTCCGCCCTTGTTAGACCAATCTTACACGTAAAACAACACAAAAACCTCACCAGATCTATCTCCCCTGGGATGGCAAGCATCATGAGTTTATTCCCCTTGTCGCTGGAGCGAGTAACGGACGCTCTCGGCCTGACGCCATTGTTGTCCGGCTTGCGGCGGAGATCCAAAAGTCGGATGACCTCGCCGTTGAGGTTGGAGATAAAAACCTTGAACCTCTCGTCGTTTAACTCGACCTTGACCTCCCTGGCGTTAAGCTGACCGTAGGTGGTCCTGCCAACCCATTCCGTTGCTGTGGAGATAAAGACATTATTAGAGACACGTTAGCCTTAGGCAGAGGCGTAGCGACTCTTCCCGGCGCCCGGAGACAAACTTTCGATTTGCACCCCCCCCCTTCAAACTTTCGATTTGCAACCCCCCATCGAACTTTTCATTTGCAACCCCCCCCCCCCCCTCAAACTTTCAATTTGGCGCCCCCCCCTAAGGTCGGCGCCCGGGGACATATGTCCCCCCCCCACCCTCGCTACGCCTCTGGCCTTAGGTCCGTAATTTGACAGTAACAGACTTTGACAGTCACATGACTATTTAAAATTTATTAGGAGAATTCTATAAATGACGTCATATGAGGAGGGTCAAGGAAGGGAAATTGTTGGTGATGACGTATGTGTGTGTATGTATGTGTGCGATAGTGTGTGTGAAAAGATTGGGGGGGGGGGAATGTGACCTTGCATAAAGTTTTTGTGTTTGTTTGGGATTACTAAGTATTTAAAACATACCATAAAAATGACTTGGACCATCAGCTAAAGTATGTCCAGATGTCGCAACATTTTTAGCCAGAGCTTTTTGTCTGTGCTTGGCCAGAAGCAACAGAATCCCAATCGTAACTGGAAATACAACACAATCAAATAAAACACAATCAAATAAAACACAATCAACTAAAACAATCAAACAAAACATATACAACCATATACAAGAGAGAGAGAGAGGCTATATCTGTAAATGTACATATGTATATATGTATATATGTTTACATGTATATATGTATATATGTTTATATGTATGTAAATATATATATAACTATATATATATATATATATATCTATATATATCTATATATATATATATATATATATATATATATATATATATATATATATATAAATATATTTACTTACATATGTATGCATATGTACGGATTTATATCATATATATATATATATATATATATATATATATATATATATATATATATATATATATATATATATTGACTACTTGAAGTGTAGTCCTATTTACTACATGTTACATTACTCGTTTCTTATCACTTGGAATAAACAGGAGACTTGTTCTAGTCAACTTCAAGACTTTATTACTCACGCACTAGCCTATATCTCCTACAACCTGTCTTCTACCTAGCTTTATTCTTAGCCAACTCACACGACATAAACAACACTACACATTAACACGGCACACAATGAGACTACACATTCTAGGGACATCACCAAGATAAATGTAATACAATAAATGTAATAACTACCAAAACATAACATAACATATATATATACATATATATGAGGTTCTAAATAAATAATCCATGCACTCGCTCACACCTGGTAATGACATTCCAATGATCACTATAGTGACAAGAAAAGGGACCTCACTCCCAGAAAAGTAATCGTAATGCTGCAAAGGTACACACACTTCATGAGTTTCCGCCTTGTTCACGAAAGGATCGACACACCTACACTGTGTTGATAGGGGATTGACATCTGGGTTGAGAAACAAAATATATACAGGACATTTGTTAGCTGAATACGTGTGTGTTCATTACGATTATCACTGCAACACTTTCACAATCTCACGAACAATAAAAATAAAACACCTTATATAAAGTTGTTTTTCCACATTTAATTTTATTTTACGCTCAAATGCCAAAGCAAATTGCATTTATAACTTTCATAAATGAAATTGTTAGGAGGATTGGCTCCAATACAATTAAGTATTACGTGTCAACTTGTTATGCGCCATGTAAGCCATTTACAAGGCAGCAATTGTTTGCTTGTTGTGTTGCTGTTCGAGGATTCGAACTCAAGACTTTATGGTTTAGCAACCCTGAGCTTTACCGCTTTGACCACGCCGACTCATAAAACTTGTGTTTTATCGATTAATTGATTTTTGTCTGTGTCGACAAAAATGATTAACAACGAAACTACAGAGGTTAAACTACTGATGCAAATGCAAAACGTTTTTGGCAGAAGGCTTAAAATTTCCCTGAAACCTTCTAGCGTAGTTTAGCTGTTAGCTTACAGATGCATACTGTGATACTTGAAATTTCAAACTTCGATGTAGGACTACTCCGTGGTACCATAGATAGACCAGTAAACAGAGGCGTAGCGACCCTTCCCGGCGCCCGGGGACAAACTTTCGATTTGCACCTCCCCTCAAACTTTTCATTTGCACCCCCCTCAAACTTTCAATTTGGCGCCCCCTAAGGTTGGCGCCCGGGGACATATGTCCCCCCCCCCCCCTTCGCTACGCCTTTGCCAGTAAAAAAAACAACAATCTTACTACAGACGAAGACATCTTTCTCCTTGCCGGAAAACGTCGTCAGCCGGTTAAAAGCGTTTGTAACATTGTTCAAGACATCGTAAAATGTCGTACTTTCGATTTCTCCTAATTCTTCAGATGTGAAAAGTCTGAAAAAAATTGTTGGTTCATTTTACAGATATTTGTAAAGTACTTGACCACATAAAATTAGAAAAAAATGTGTATTGTTAAACAATTATTTTAGCGGGTATAAGCAGCATATTAATTTAGATAACAGATATTTGAAATTCAACATTACTCAAGTATTACCAATATCTGTAGCAACACTTACTCATTGGTCTGTATGTGTACCACCACTTACCCGTTCTTCCCAAAACTCAAGAATTACCAATATCTATAGCAACACCTACTCATTGTCCTGTATGTGTACCACCACTTACCCGTCCTTCCCAAAACTCAAGTATTACAAATATCTGTAGCAACACCTACTCATTGTCCTTTATGTGTACCACCACTTACCCGTTCTTCTCGTTCTCATACCAAAACCTGTCCCCGTGTCTGATCCTCAAAAACTGTTCTAGAATAATTTTTTGAAAGAGAGGCCCAGGACCGTCGTCTGTGGTCTCCAACAAACCACCAACAAACACATCCAGCTCGTCAGGACTCGGTGTGTTGTTGTACAAATTCCGCAGCAATCTCAAAGTCTGTAAACACGATGTTTACATTATTTTCTGCCCTTAAATGCCACAACTCAATAGTAATAGGAACAGTGAAGCATGTGAACAACATATAGCCCGATTACACTTCAAGTGCAATCGGGCTATCTATAATATAAGCGGGATGTTAGTGTGTCAGTCCTTCCTCGTGTCATCGCTATAGGGCTGGTAAGTACGTCACCAACCAGTTCTATGGCTCATGCAAGTTGTATTGAGCCGTAGAACTGATTGGTGACCTAATTATCAGCCCTATAGATTTTGGAAACATAAAAGTAAACGTCGCACCATCAGTGCTTTTTAGTGCAACGCAGTTTGTTATTATATGTAATAGAGTAGGGTTTGTTTATATAACAACTTAAATTTATTTTATAGTTGCCACTGTTTTTACTCTTTTGCATAACGTAAAGAAAATATTAAATACACACACATTGCTAAAACATATTAAACTGATCAATGTCAAATATCACTTTCGTTAGATTCCTAGAAAAAGTGGATACATTTTAATAATAATAGGGTCGAAAAAACGAATTAATTAAACTTTTTGTAATTTTCCAAGTGAGGTAATTTAAAAATAAATTCAACTCACGCTAATTAGCAAAATGTGAATCCAAATTTATGAGTGTTGTCTTTTGTGTTTGTGTATTGCGTTTGTGTTTTTGTTTATGTTTGCATTGTGTTTGTTTGCATTGTGTTTGTGTTTTCTTTTGTGTTTGTGTTGTGTTTGTGTTGTGTTTGTGTTGTGTTTGTGTTGTGTTTGTGTTGTGTTTGTGTTGTGTTTGTGTTTGTGTTGTGTTTGTGTTGTGTTTGTGTTGTGTTTGTGTTGTGTTTGTGTTGTGTTTGTGTTTGTGTTGTGTTTGTGTTGTGTTTGTGTTGTGTTTGTGTTGTGTTTGTGGTGTGTTTGTGGTGTGTTTGTGTTGTGTTTGTGTTGTGTTGTGTTTGTGTTGTGTTGTGTTGTGTTGAGTTTGTGTTGTGTTTGTGTTGTGTTGTGTTGTGTTTGTGTTTGTGTTGTGTTAGTGTTGTGTTTGTGTTGTGTTTGTGTTTGTGTTGTGTTTGTGTTGTGTTGTGTTTGTGTTGTGTTGTGTTTGTGTTGTGTATGTGTTGTGTTGTGTTGTGTTTGTGTTGTGTTGTGTTGTGTTGTGTTTGTGTTGTGTTTGTGTTGTGTTGTGTTGTGTTTGTGTTGTGTTGTGTTTATGTTGTGTTTGTGTTGTGTTTGTGTTTGTGTTGTGTTTGTGTTATGTTGTGTTTGTTTTGTTTTTGTGTTTGTGTTGTGTTTGTTTTGTGTTTGTGTTGTGTTTGTGTTGTGTTGTGTTGTGTTTGTGTTGTGTTTGTGTTGTGTTTGTGTTGTGTTGTGTTAGTGTTGTGTTTGTGTTGTGTTTGTGTTGTGTTTGTATTGTGTTTGTATTGTGTTTGTGTTGTGTTTGTGTTGTGTTTGTGTTGTGTTGTGTTGTGTTTGTGTTGTGTTGTGTTTGTGTTGTGTTTGTGTTGTGTTTGTGTTGTGTTTGTGTTGTGTTTGTGTTGTGTTTGTGTTGTGTTTGTGTTGTGTTTGTGTTGTGTTTGTGTTGTGTTTGTGTTGTGTTTGTGTTGTGTTTGTGTTGTGTTTGTGTTGTGTTTGTGTTGTGTTTTTGTTGTGTTTTTGTTGTGTTTTTGTTGTGTTTGTGTTGTGTTTGTGTTGTGTTTGTGTTGTGTTTGTGTTGTGTTTGTGTTGTGTTTGTGTTGTGTTTGTGTTGTGTTTGTGTTGTGTTTGTGTTGTGTTTGTGTTGTGTTTGTGTTGTGTTTGTGTTGTGTTTGTGTTGTGTTTGTGTTGTGTTTGTGTTGTGTTTGTGTTGTGTTTGTGTTGTGTTTGTGTTGTGTTTGTGTTGTGTTTGTGTTGTGTTTGTGTTGTGTTTGTGTTGTGTTTGTGTTTGTGTTTGTGTTTGTGTTGTGTTTGTGTTGTGTTTCTGTTGTGTTTCTGTTGTGTTTGTGTTGTGTTTGTGTTGTTTTTGTGTTGTGTTTGTGTTGTGTTGTGTTGTGTTGTGTTTGTGTTGTGTTTGTGTTGTGTTGTGTTTGTGTTGTGATTGTGTTGTGTTTGTGTTGTGTTGTGCTGGTGTTGTGTTTGTGTTTGTGTTAAGGTTTTGTTTGTGTTGTGATGTGTTTGTGTTGTGTTAAGTTTTTGTTTGTGTTGTGTTTGTGTTTGTGTTGTGTTGTGTTGAGTTTGTGTTTGTGTTGTGTTTGTGTTGTGTTTGTGTTTGTGTTTGTGTTTTGTTTGTGTTGTGTTTGTGTTGTGTTTGTGTTTGTGTTAGTGTTGTGTTTGTGTTGTGTTTGTGTTGTGTTTGTGTTGTGTTTGTGTTGTGTTTGTGTTGTGTATGTGTTGTGTTGTGTTGTGTTTGTGTTGTGTTGTGTTTGTGTTGTGTTTGTGTTGTGTTTGTGTTGTGTTTGTGTTGTGTTTGTGTTTGTGATGTGTTTGTGTTGTGTTTGTGTTTATTTTGTGTTTGTGTTGTGTTTGTATTGTGTTTGTATTATGTTTGTGTTGTGTTGTGTTTGTGTTGTGTTGTGTTTGTGTTGTGTTTGTGTTGTGTTGTGTTGATTTTGTGTTGAGTTTGTGTTGTGTTTGTGTTGTGTTTATGTTGTGTTTGTGTTGTGTTTGTGTTTGTGTTGCGTTTGTGTTATGTTTGTGTTGCGTTTGTGTTGTGTTTGTGTTGTGTTTGTGTTGTGTTTGTGTTTGTGTTTGTTTTGTGTTGTTTTTGTGTTGTGTTTGTGTTGTGTTTGTGTTGTGTTTGTGTTGTGTTTGTGTTGTGTTTGTGTTGCGTTTGTGTTGTGTTGTGTTTGTGTTGTGTTTGTGTTGTGTTTGTGTTGTGTTTGTGTTGTGTTTGTGTTGTGTTTGTGTTGTGTTTGTGTTGTGTTTGTGTTGTGTTTGTGTTGTGTTGTGTTTGTGTTGTGTTTGTATTGTGTTTGTTTTGTGTTTGTGTTGTGTTTGTGTTGTGTTTGTGTTGTGTTTGTGTTGTGTTTGTGTTGTGTTTGTGTTGTGTTTGTGTTGTGTTTGTGTTGTGTTTGTGTTGTGTTTGTGTTGTGTTTGTGTTGTGTTTGTGTTGTGTTTGTGTTGTGTTTGTGTTGTGTTTGTGTTGTGTTTGTGTTGTGTTTGTGTTGTGTTGTGTTTGTGTTAAGGTTGTGTTTGTGTTGTGATGTGTTTGTGTTGTGTTTGTGTTGTGTTTGTGTTGTGTTTGTGTTGTGTTTGTGTTTGTGTTGTGTTTCTGTTGTGTTGTGTTTGTGTTGTGTTTGTGTTTGTGTTGTGTTTGTGTTGTATTTGTGTTGTATTTGTGTTGTGTTTGTGTTGTGTTGAGTTTGTGTTATGTTTGTGCTTGTGTTTAGTTTTGTTCTGTTCTGTTCCCAAGTTGATACATTAAAAAATATTTTCCGTTGCGGAGCACGGGTATGCAGCTAGTAGAAATATAGAAGTTAGTGACAAAACAGAAAAAAAAATTGTGGATTCTTTTTTTTTGTTGTTGAGAAAATACGAAGAGGTGAGTAGCATTGCTTTATCAGAATACGATGTAGAATTACCAAATTCTGAATGTGTTTGAGAAATTAAGCGAAATACTCCTTTAAAAAGCACTTGGTTTTCGCTCTTTAAATACACTTTAAATTAAATAGAATCGCTTAAAATAAAAGAATTGCGCACCAAAACTGATATAGCGTTTTCGAATTATGTTATTTTTTTTAGAAAATCGGAAATTATTCAAAATTTGTGAATCAAAGCCAAAGAATATGATCTTATAACTACGCATGAAATTTTGTTCACCTACCTGAAGTGGTACTAGTGTTATCGGTATTTTAGAAATAGGAGGTGGAGTCAAGTACAACTTTCGAATATCGGACCAATCACAAAATAACACAAGAAAATTACTTATTAATTAAAGATCGCAACTGAGGCATTATAAAAGCTAAAAGCTAGTTTTAAAATTATTGAAAAAAATTAACCGGGAGTAATCTTCGAATATTCTTATATAACACTATGCTGGATGGCAACTCGGGACATAGACAAGATTTTTAATCTATTTTTAATTACTTTTTAAAAAATAGAATAGAATCTCGTAGAAAAAAGAATTGAGCACCAAGTAAACGCCAAACAATATGTATATAATAGTGCGGAATATTATAAGTACCTTCCGTCAACGGAAATTACTCAAAATTTGACAGAAGGCAGAGAGTTAGATCTTTTACTTACATGTGAAATTTCATTTATCTTATCTGAAACAGTACTCAAGCTATAGGCTTTTGAAAAATTGAAATTAGAATAAGTTCCGTTTCCAGTTACCGGAAATCGCTGAAAAGTCGATACAGAACTACAAATTTGATATAATACCTGTACATAAAATTTCATCAACCTAGCTGTAACGGTACTCAACTAATCGTGTTCACAGATACACATATACACACATACACACACAGACATACGGACAAGATTGCAAAACTATGTTTTATTTGTAAAACATCGAGATTTGCAAAAATTGCGAATTTTTTTGTAATTACAATACTTTCTCTATACTTCGTATTTGAGAAAGTAACAAAATGAATGAGGTGTCAAAATAGCCATATCCCTTTTAAGGTGACGAAGCAACTTCATTTTCGCTAGGTTGTTTACGTTGTTAAAAATCTAGGTACTTACTGTTGAAAAGTTAAAATACTTCGTATAGTTTGAATTGATTTCCTCCCAATTCCGTTTCCTTGGCAACCCGTAAGCCTCCAGTACGTCGTTATATCCCGGAAGTCCCAGGTCACGTGCACGTTGAATATTCAAAGCTCCCAGGTCCCGCCTTGACCAATCCAGGGGACCAAAGACGTCCTCTGAATGTGGAGGATATCGGTTCATGCATGTTTTATAGCTCAGCTTTCATTTGACTGGTGTCTAGACATTGACAGTCCCCATCAATAGCTATACTCACATAGAGGATTCACTAAGCTATCGTATTTGTAATTAGAGTTTGACGATTTTAAAATATCAAAATATCTCCCTACATTTACCAAATCAAACTATAAAGTAAAGCAAAATTTTTTTTTTTTTTTATGCAAAAAGTGAATCTCACATTTAGGCTGGTTTTACATGATTTTCATGTGTAGGTTAAGGGTTATGAAATATTTAATTCGTGTAAATTTAAGTTACATGTTTTTAAGTTGCTGATAAAAAATTTAAATTTTTTGTATAACAAAATGAAATAATTTTTAGCTGCACTTCATCAGTCGGAGAATTACACATACTTTATACATTAAATGGATCCTGTCTGTAAAATAGTATAATGGCATGCATGAGATTAAGCACGAGTACGTTATATCTAAATAATACCTCTCAAGTCCGAAACAATGATGTTGTCTTCTTTTGTAGCTCTTGTATAAATTAATCCTCGGATTAACTCGTCCATTCCATTCTCCACCTCTACCGTCTCCTGTAACAATAAAACTGAAGTTATCATGATCGTTTTTTTGTTTAAAAATGTATAGCTTCAGTTGTTTTGCATCGTATGGGAAATAAGTACAGTATGCACGATAGTACTGCTCTTGGGAATTGAAACTCATTTTACCGGAATAGTTCTGTAATTGTTTTTGATATTTATTGAGATTTTACTGACACTTTACATTTATTAGTATTTTAATAAATTTTACATAAATCTTTATTGCATTTTTCTGAAAATAGTCCTGTTGTTTTATTGTTCTAGACAAATAGCAGGTATTTTACTGCCATTTGCTTAGTCTTTAGTTGTTGATATACAGGCTTTTTACTGATTTTGTACAAATCATGTGCTGGTCACCTTGTTTTCCGCGTTAAACAATATATATATATATATATATATATATATATATATATATATATATATATATATATATATATATATATATATATATATATATATATATATGTGTGTGTGTGTGTGTGTGTGTGTGTGTACCAATAAATTTAGTGGTGCATACTCTTGTAGGTAATCTTACTTTTTAAAAAGGGCATCAAAATAAATATTAGTAATATATACTTTTCAATATAGCAATAATTGTGTACTGATGCATTTTATGATAGCTATACCATCTGTGAGAAGCTAATAAATACAATATTAGGACCTTTTATAATAATTGATTTGTCAAAAGTTTTCCAAAAAAAAAAATAGAAATTCACTCACTTCAGGAACCCAGTAAGAATTACAGAGCCTAATTCCTTTCACATCCTTGGTCTGCTCCCCTCCTTCAGGCTGGGAGGTGAATTTCCCCTGAACTAGACGGGAGACCTTTGCGCAGCGGTTCTGGAAATCTTTGCTGTGGTTAAAGTAATGTTGTTAAATATCAGAGTCAGTCAAGCTCATTAGTTAGTGATTATGTACGCCTATACATTTATATAATGTGTGCTAGGTACGCTGGTCAACAAAAATAGCCATTTGCTCAGTTTGTTTTCAGTTTATTAGGTTTCTGGAGTCTATCAGATAAGGTGTGTATTGGATCTATGAGTACTATCAGACATGGTGTGCACTAGGTCTATGGGTGCTATCAGACAAGGTGTGCAGTTTGTGTGTGAGTGCAATCAAACAAGGTGTGCAGTTTGTGTGTGAGTGCTATCAAACAAGGTGTGCAGTTTGTGTGTGAGTGCTATCAAACAAGGTGTGCAGTTTGTGTGTGAGTGCTATCAGACAAGGTGTGCGGTTTGTGTGTGAGTGCTATCAAACAATGTGTGCAGTTAGTGTGTGAGTGCTATCAAACAAGATGTGCAGTTTGTGTGTGAGTGCTATCAAACAAGGTGTGCAGTTTGTGTGTGAGTGCTATCAAACAAGATGTGCAGTTTGTGTGTGAGTGCTATCAAACAAGGTGTGCAGTTTGTGTGTGAGTGCTATCAAACAAGGTGTGCACTAGGGTCTATGGGTGCTATCAGACAAGATGCGCTGACCAGAACTTACAAGGTGTAAACAACGGACGGTACCAGAGTGTGACCAAACCTGAAGGCCGCCGCCTGGAACTCTGTGCTGATGCCAGGATGGACGTTAGGGTCATAACCTGGAGATACAACAATCTTTTATAATTCTAAGACAATAGAATCTGATCAAGAGAAAAACGAATGGCACACTTGGTTTCCACATACATTTGTACATATTCTCATATACATTAGCGGTTGTTCGCATGTACATTCGGAAATGTTCTAACATACCTTTGTATTGATTCGAGCCACCGCCCCCATAAGGATACAGACTACGGAGATCAAACTTCGATCCGTTGGCGTAGATCGCTAGCCAGCCCGGCAACCATTCATACATAACAATTTTCTGTAACAGAAAAACAGTTTCTGATTAAATATATATAACCCTAGCATAGTCCTGAGATTTCCTTGAAGTAAACTTATAATCAAGAGTTGTATTAATTTGTACATACCACGCATAGGCCTACTTAGGTAAGGATTTGTGTTACACACCTGTTATTGTGCTACACACCTGGTACTGTGCTCCACACCTGGTACTGTGCTACACACTTGATACTGTGCTACACACTTGGTACTACACATCTGGTAACGTGCTACACACCTGACACTGTGCTACACACTTGGTACTACACATCTGGTACTGTGCTACACACTTGATACCCTGCTACACACCTGGTACTGTACTACACATCTGGTACTGTGCTACACACCTGTACTGTACTACACATCTGGTACTGTGCTACACACCTGTACTGTACTACACATCTGGTACTGTGCTAGACACCTGGTACTGTGCTACACACCTGGTACTGTGCTACACACATGGTACTGTGCTACACACCTGGTACTGTGCTATGACCTATTTACACACCTGGTACTGTGCTATGATCTATTTGCACACCTGGTACTGTGCTATGACCTATTTACACACCTGGTACTGTGCTATGACCTATTTACACACCTGATACTGTACTACACACCTAATACTGTGCTATGACCTATTTACACACCTGGTACTGTGCTATGACCTATTTACACACCTGGTACTGTGCTATGACCTATTTACACACCTGATATTGTGCTATGACCTATTTACACACCTGGTACTGTGCTATGACCTATTTACACACCTGGTACTGTGCTATGACATATTTACACACCTGGTACTGTGCTATGACCTATTTACACACCTGGTACTGTGCTATGACCTATTTACACACCTGGTACTGTGCTATGACCTATTTACACACCTGGTACTGTGCTATGACCTATTTACACACCTGATACTGTGCTATGACCATGTACACACCTAATACTGTGCTATGACCTATTTACACACCTGGTACTGTGCTACACACCTGGTACTGTGCTACACACCTGGTAATGTGCTATGACCTATTTACACACCTGGTACTGTGCTATGACCTATTTACACACCTGGTACTGTGCTATGACCTATTTACACACCTGGTACTGTGCTATGATCTATTTACACACCTAGTAATGTGCTATGACCTATTTACACACCTGGTACTGTGCTACTCACCTGGTACTGTGCTATGACTCTCTTCCTGGCACCATTAAACAGCTGCTCGTCACTGTAGTTTGAGTGTCTGGCCTTGAGCTGCCTGGCGATGACGTTGTGGTACCTGAACCACACAACAGCTAGTGACGTAATGAACGGGTTCTCGTGGGTCCTCGGGTTCCCAAATCCTGCAAATAGAAAAATCCCTTTTGTGAGTCCTTGTGATGAATGTAAAAAAAAAATAAAAGTAAAGTTCACTTTTCAAACCTGGCAGTCTATAGGGCAAGTGAAGTAGAGTTCACTTGTTTCTGTGATCTCGGCATATGAAGAGATAATGTGGTCAGCACTATGCCCAGCCGCCTTTACTTTCCCTAACGTGAGTTAGGTACCCATCAGAGTTGGGTGGACTCAGGGACGGTCTATAGACTTGAACCCGGATTCGAACTCGAGACTAACGGGTTAGCAGTCCAGCTCTCTACCGATAGACCAATCTGTCCCACTGTGATTAATGACCAGTCTAAAATCACACGCAATATTGCCTGATTTAAAGCTGAAGCATGATTTTGTGCTCTAGTTTATAGGAAATTTAACTTAAAGATTACGTTACATTCTTAATACTTCTGAACTCAAGAAAGTATTCTGGCTTACTTAAGTAGAAACAAATAACACTTTAAATAAGTCTCACACTTCTAGACTGGCAAGGGACTGAAAACACATATCCTGTGTTACAATACGAGGACCTGTGTAACGTACCCCTTTCGAACCTGTCGGTCCACGCAGCAGGTGAAGTAGTGTTTACCTGTTTCCTTGATCTCGACATTGGAAGTCATAGTGTGGTCAGCACTATGTCCAGCCGAATTTACTTTCCATATCGTGAGTCAGGTACCCATCAGAGCTGAGTAGATTCAGGTGGCCCTCTAAATTACAATTTAACATGTCTCTTCTGGTCAAGCAGAGTATTAAAATAACAATTCAGCTGAAATCTGGCTTTTTCTGCTACTAATTAACCATCAAGTAAAATGTATTTAAGTCCCTCCCTTACGCCTAAATCTGCTGACAGGTCTTAGAATATGGTCTCTTGGTGACGGAGGATTGGCGAACGGTAACCGGATGTCGTTTTTTGCCGGGAAACTTTTCTTGATCTCTTCGTGATCTGCCAGTAGCTCGCCGTTCTTGAAGGACCGGAGGGTGTCTTCAACGGATTTCCCGGCCCCGTAGACCAGGTTCCCGTCGATGTAGGGGGTGATCTCATTTAGCTGAAAGTTTAGATAGTCATACATATCACGTGGTTTTGTTACGTTTAGATTTTTACTTTTCCGGGGCTAAAACACGCACATTTAAATTTAGTTTCTAAAATTAATTTGATTTCATTTTCAGAATTATTTTTTTCATGGAAACAGTTTTATTTTTCTTATTTTTGTGGCCACATCAGTTTCATTTATCTTTTAGTAGAGGGAAGCTTAAAAATCACTACAGACATTTGTAGTTGTGGCAACGTGTTGAAGAATAGAATTATTCCCTTATCAACGCTCGTTTGTTACTATGGTATTGACTGGGTGAATTATATTTTTCTCACTTTCAGAAATCAGTAGTTATAAATACTGCAACATTACGTAAAATTACGTGTTCTTATCTGCTTTTTGTTTAAGTAATTATCTTAAGTTGAATGTCCACATTTTTAGAATAAACACTTTAAATTAAAGTATTTCGTACAATAAATTGTTTCAGTTTGTTTTGATGCACAAAAAATGTGGATATAATTTACTTATAAAATGTTTAGCATGTCTTTGATTGAGTACCAAAAAACGCAAAACAAAATGTCCCGTTTGACCTACTTGTTGTCTCGGGTTATTTGGCGAGAATCCCGTCCGTTGGTCGTAGCGAGACCGCAAGAACGGCAACTCTAGATCGTCCTTGTTGTCTGGGTTGTACTTGTGGTTTTTGGGTACGGGAATGTTGAAGTATTCAATCGGACATCCGGGTCTCTGGGCGTCCATTATTTCCTCAACCAGCTGCTGGCCTTATAGAATTAAATATTCGGGTTTGAAAAACATTAAAAGAAAGTTAGGTCTGATTAATACCTAACGACAATATGTAATTATGAATTGAGAATTTCGATGAAAATGAAAACACAACATTACAGAGAAACTAAACATAGTAATGCATATATCATGGACCACTCTTATTTATGACCATATTAACGGGATTGAACATGAAAATCGTTGACCATGATCCGAGGTTTGACAAACTGGACAACGCTTCATTATGCAGGTATGCATAGAAAACTAGGCATTTGTCACCTACCAAGCAGTTTTTATATCGAGGTGTATGGATGTTATATCCACAAGCAAACAAGATACCATCTTACCAAATTACACATCTTCATGATTTGAACATGACACTGTTTAAAAATTAGCCTTACATAAAGTAAAAATGTTACTTCCTCTTTGCGAATAAAAACTGTAATGAAATCACAAACAAAGAGAGATAAAGTTGAATTTATAATTTCTTCATGTAAAAATTTTACATTTTGTTAATTTTTTCCCCATAAAATGTTCTTTAAATTTTAATGTCATTTTACAATCTAGAAATATATCTAAGTTATCTGATATTTAAAAATAAAAACAAAGCAGAGTTACGTTGTCATGTTGTATTTTAAAACCGTCGGGTGTTTCTATTTAACCACAGACGTGTACCAAAAATGTCCCTCACAGGTTTATTTTTTAAAGACATTCCCACCCTCAACTCTCCACAAGAGATCCAGTTACCAATCAGAGTTTCTTCCAGGCATCTCTTCGGAAAATTTTTTACCGCCCCCCCCCCCGAACGAAATGAAATTTATATAATTTATATAGAAAATATATACTTTTAACAGTGTCCGCCCCCCCCCCCCCCCGAAGAAAGTTTACCGCCCCCCCGAAGATTTCAAGTGCCCCCCCCCCCGGAGAAAAAAGTCTGGAAGAAACACTGTTACCAATTCATTAATTTAATTACATTTCCCGGGTTAAAATAATGAAATCAGACGTTTTTTACTATGTATAGATAAACAATTGTCAATGAATGAAAGTAAATGTCAGAAAAATGTAATGGTAGCGTAAATCTGTATCAGTCCTCACAAGCCGATGATGGAAACTGTAATACTAGTGTGAACAAATAGGCATGACAAATTGATGCTGTAATACATGTCTGACGCAAACACAACATTCAACTTATTTCTGTTAGCTTAATAGCTGTTGTTAAATAGGTGAAAAAAATTACATAAGGCAGGACAGAAGTAGGAGACATTAACAGCACAAGTGGCTACACAAAGTTCTTAGAGTCAGTACTGTGTACTTAGTAAGACCACTAGAATGGTGCTGTGTGTTGTAGAATCTACACATTCAAAGTTGCCCGTATGTTGTACGGCTGGGTATTGGTACTGTGATGACAGATAACTTTTTAAATATTTGAGCCTTCGATGGAAACTTAAGACAATGTCTTACGATTGGGAGTTAAGATATCTTGCAATATTTCCCATGCTCCACTGTATAAAATCCAAGCATCTGTTTCGCTAATGCAAAAATACAAGAATATCCCACTCTGTTGGACAAACGGAAATTACCGAAGAAGACGAGGTAGACAAACGGAAATTACCGAAGAAGACGAATTAGACAAACGGAAATTACCGAAGAAGACGAGTAGGGCGTTCCTGTTTCTGACACTGCTCAAGTCATTCGTCCCGTTGAAAGCTATCCTGCTGATGTCCAGAGGGTTTGGTCTGTTGGTGCCTGAAGGCTCGTACACGCCATCACTGTAGTTGACGGGGCTACGTCGTAACAGGTGGGTGTCTGACGAGGCGGAGAAACACAACACATTATTTGGTTGAAATATCAGAATAATCAGATTTAAAAGTAGCTGTAAAAATACGTTAGTATTTATTCTTTAAATGTGGACTGAATGCATCATTATTAAATTATTGATGGACTATTCATGGGAATTCTGACGACAATACGCCCGATATTCATAGTTGGTGCTCCTTAGAATGTCAGAGAATATCCCAATCAGAGACAGATAAGGTGACTGATCATGTCACTGATCAAATGATTCTTCAATGTATAAAGAAAAATCCCCCCTACCCCACCCCGTGGATCCCCTCCCATGAACTCATCCATTATGGCTACGTCCACGACCTTCTTAATCATATATCTTACCTCCTCCATTCACACAAGAGCACCCCTCAACTCACCAATGGCCCCCCAGTCAGGGTGCAGTAGATTGTTGTACTCACCAATGGCCCCCCAGTCAGGGTGCAGTAGATTGTTGTACTCACCAATGGCCCCCCAGTCAGGGTGCAGTAGATTGTTGTACTCACCAATGGCCCCCCAGTCAGGGTGCAGTAGATTGTTGTACTCACCAATGGCCCCCCAGTCAGGGTGCAGTAGATTGTTGTACTCACCAATGGCCCCCCAGTCAGGGTGCAGTAGATTGTTGTACTCACCAATGGCCCCCCAGTCAGGGTGCAGTAGATTGTTGTACTCACCAATGGCCCCCCAGTCAGGGTGCAGTAGATTGTTGTACTCACCAATGGCCCCCCAGTCAGGGTGCAGTAGATTGTTGTACTCACCAATGGCCCCCCAGTCAGGGTGCAGTAGATTGTTGTACTCACCAATGGCCCCCCAGTCAGGGTGCAGTAGATTGTTGTACTCACCAATGGCCCCCCAGTCAGGGTGCAGTAGATTGTTGTACCAGCCATCACTGGGGTGACGCTCCACCTCCTCACACCTCAGGGGTGACAACACTGTGTACAAGGTAAATGTGTACAGGGTTATATTTACAGGGTTATCTCAACAGTATATATAGAGCTTAAATATGGAACATCAAATATCTAGAGCTTAAATATGTTACACCAAAATATCTAGAAATTAAGTATGTTACAGCAAAATATCTCAGTGTGGGTGGATGGTAGAACGCAAGTCTGCTAGCCCTAAAGGCTCGAGTTCGGATCCCGAGATCGAGTTCTTTTGCAGTCCATGAGTCCACCCAGCTCTGATGAGTACCTGACTCACGTTAGGCGATTGGGCTGTGCTCTGACCACACTATCCCATCATATGCCAGCACAGACACAGGATAACTCTTTTCCGAAAGGGTAACTTAACATAATATGGCCCATTTATGCAATCTAGAGCCGTTTAAGCAGTAATCAAAAAGAGATGGCGCTGACTGGGCCATGTTTTAAGGAGGAGACCAGATGATATCACAAGGAATAGCGCTGAACTGGACGCCTCAAGAAAAAAACAACAACAGGGAATACCAAAGGAGACGTGGAATTTCACAGGAGAAAACCAACTGACAAGAACCGAACTATCTTTAGGAACTACGAAGAAAGTTGCCATAGACCGACAAAAGTAGAAGAAGCTTTCTGTGGCAACTACATTGATATCATAATTTGATCTAACGTATGTCACGTCAATACATCTAAAGCTTTTAAAACAATACAAATACCATATAGCCTCTAAGCCTACCTGCAAACAAAACCACAACGATCTCGCCCAAGAACATGATGATGTCAGTTACTCTTGTTGTTTCTGATTTGACTGTGTAGGACTAACACGACTGTCTTTGTAGTTTGTCAACAAGCTGCATTTGTGTATCACAACCTAGGCTGCGTAGAAATTGAAAGTGGTTTGAGGTTGAAAACAAATTGTGCGAACAAACAAGTCGGTGACTCCTAACGCCACATTTAATTAATGAAACAAATAATTGTAGTTAAAATCATATTTAAGGCAGATGGCAGTGTGTGTGATGTGTGATGTGTGATGTGTGATGTGCGACACAGACTTGCCTAAAATTTGAATTGTCGTCTAAACTACTATGGTGACATGTGGTGACAGGAAACCCAAATCTGTTGAAAGTAATAATCTAGGGAAAAGGACATATGACAATGTTTCATAACTTTTTATGGTGTTGAATTTTGTATACTTTTCTTTAAAATAATTATTGTTTTTTTTTAATATTATATGTTTGTACATTAATTAATGTTTACCGTTTTTTCTTAGTTCTTCAAAAAGTTAATACAAATGATGCTCTTCAAACACACGTGGTCAAAAGCCAAACTACGATTTGAACAATACCTCGCGTGTAGTTCATAAGATTCTCCTGAATAAGATTCTCGACATAAATGTCGTGTTTCCTGTTTATCAGTGTACTAGAGTTGCCTTACTTTCAAGTGTCTACTTGACGATGTTCGCCGGTTTGTAAACTTTAGAGGGTTATTTATGTACACATGAGCTACCATTTTAGTGGGTTATTTATGTACACATGAGCTACTATTTTAATGGGTTATTTATGTACACATGAGCTACTATTTTAATGGGTTATTTATGTACACATGAGCTACCATTTTAGTGGGTTATTTATGTACACATGAGCTACTATTTTAATGGGTTATTTATGTACACATGAGCTACTATTTTAATGGGTTATTTATGTACACATGAGCTACTATTTTAATGGGTTATTTATGTACACATGAGCTACTATTGTAGTGGGTTATTTATGTACACATGAGCTACTATTTTAGTGGGTTATTTATGTACACATGAGCAACTATTATAGTGGGTTATTTATGTACACATGAGCTACAATTGTAGTGGGTTATTTATGTACACATGAGCTACTATTTTAGTGGGTTATTTATGTACACATGAGCTACTATTGTAGTGGGTTATTTATGTACACATGAGCTACTATTGTAGTGGGTTATTTATGTACACGTGAGCTACTATTTTAGTGAGTTTTTATGTACACGTGAGCTACTATTGTAGTGGATTATTTATGTACACATGAGCTACCATTTGAGCGGGTTATTTATGTACACATGAGCTACCATTGTAGTGGGTTATTTATGTACGCATGAGCTACCATAATATTGGGTTAATTATGTACACATGAGCTACCATTTTAGTGGGTTATTTATGTACACATGAGCTACCATAATATTGGGTTAATTATGTACACATGAGCTACCATTTTAGTGGGTTTTTTATGTACACGTGAGCTACTATTGTAGTGGATTATTTATGTACACATGAGCTACCATTTTAGTGGGTTATTTATGTACACATGAGCTACCATAATATTGGGTTAATTATGTACACATGAGCTACCATTTTAGTGGGTTTTTTATGTACACATTAGCTACCATAATATTGGGTTAATTATGTACACATGAGCTACCATTTTAGTGGGTTATTTATGTACACATAAGCTACTATTGTAGTGGGTTATTTATGTACACATAAGCTACTATTATAGTGGGTTATTTATGTACACATGAGCTACTAGACAATTGGTTATTCATAAAAAAAACCACTGCTTGTAAAACAAATCACCAGAATATTTGTACACAGCTGAAACTGGCAAACTTGTATTGAGTTTTATGAATTTGCTAAATGAATTACGGTATATTTATCATCTTTTATTTATACCGACCGACTGGCTAAATCTTGCAGTGTAAGGGGTCTGTGTGATGGGATTTCTGCATATTCTAATTTGGAATGTTTTAATTTGAAGTTAGTATATGTTACGCTGTTTTCTGTTAAATAAACAAGGCAATAAAATGTAAAAAAAACTATAGTTCATAATTATATTCTAAACAAGTGTCTGACAGGATAGATTGACACTCAAGCGTATAAACTGTTTATAAATTTAAACAAAAACATACCTAAACATTCTGGATGTAGCAGCTACGTCGTATATTAATTAAATAATAAAGCACTATTTGATCTTAAAACCGCGTTTACATTTGCGACATGTATATCATATATGTCTAGAAAAAAAACACGCAGCAAAATAGTATACAAGTTCCATGGAAAAATGTATTCATTTAACATTATCTTGTTACTAGTTTTAAAAAAATGCACTTGTTGATACTACATAATTTACCTCAGATGTTGATCTTAAAATCTCGTGACACAGACACCTCAATAAAATGTGAATGTGTTTAGTCGCATCATGAGTAGTTTACTAAAAAGCTGTGAGCCACTTCAAGCGAGGTTGTTGTCTGATGTACGTCGGTGGCCTTAAGTGTATCACCTATGTGTGTTGTAGTCGTGTTTTCTGGTGTTTCACCCATATTGTGTTGTATGTGGTCCTGTGTTTTCACGTGTGCCACCCGTATACGTATGTGTGTTGTAGTCCTTTGTTTTCAAGTTTTCAAGTGTGCCACCCATATGTGTTGTAGTCCTGTGTTTTCAAGTGTGACCCATGTGTGTTGCAGATCTGTGTTTTCAAGTTTTCAAGTGTGTCATACATATGTGTTGCAGTCGCTGCATTTGCGACTCATACAACTCACTCAATGAGAGATACATTGTTTCTTAGCTACTATAATACAGTAGTTGTTTGGTTGAAGTTTTAAGAACAGTCTACGTGACAATGATACAACAGCTAGGAGACAGTGTATATTGAAATATACTTTGTTTCTTATCTCATATAATACAGTAGTTGTTTGGTTGAGGTTTTAAGAACAGTCTACGTGACAATGATACAACAGCTAGGAGACAGTGTATATTGAAATATACTTTGTTTCTTATCTTATATAATACAGTAGTTGTTTGGTTGAAGTTTTAAGAACAGTCTACGTGACAATGATACAACAGCTAAGTGTCAGTGCATATTGGAATATATTTTGTTTCTTAGTTCATATACTTAGTCAACAGGGACAGCGTGGCCTAGAGGTAGAGCGCTAGACTACTAACCCGAAAGTCTTGCGATCGGATTCCGTCCTCGAGTCTGTAGGACGTCCCTACGTCCAACCAGATATAATGGGTACCTGACTCACTTTAAGCAAAGTAAAGTTGGCTGGGCATAATGCTGACCACAGTGAAACCGGTGAACTTAACTACATCTGCCCCAGTATAAAGTTTATAATGCAGCTTTTAGGACGAGTTTACAACTGCTAGGGTACATAGACCTAAGCCTATATACTTAAAAACTATTTGACTGCTACAACTGCTAGGGTACACAGATCTAAGTCTACATACTTAAAAACAATTTGACCGTTGACTGTTACACCTGCTAGGGTACATAGATCTAAGTCTACATACTTAAAAACTATTTGACTGCTACAACTGCTAGGGTACACAGATCTAAGTCTACATACTTAAAAACAATTTGACCGTTGACTGTTACAACTGGTTCATAGACCTAAGTCTACATACTTAAAAACAATTTGACTATTACAACTTCTAGGGTACATAGATCTAAGCCTACATACTTAAAAACAATTTGACTGTAAAAACTGCTAGGGTACATAGACCTAAGCCTACATACTTAAAACAATTTGACCGTTGACACATTACATAAACATCTAATGGGAGCGTCACTTTTCATTAAGAGGGGAAAAAATGAAACAAAACACTTGGGTTGATTGTTTCAAGAGAAAAATATTTCAGACTATGTAGAGATCTTCACTAATTTAAAAAAAAGCTGTTTTAATATGTTTGGATGGTGGGTGTGGTGTGGGTTGTTGGTGTGGCGTGTTTTATAAGAGAATTTTTTTTTACTGCGCAGCCAAGGATATGTCTTTCATGCAGTGTCATAGCGAGGTCTGGTGTCACCCGGTGCGGCACATAATGGTGCCCCCCCCCCGGTTTAAAAAATTACATATGTCTATACATATATATATATATATATATATATATATATATATATATATATATATATATATATATATATATATATATATATATATACATATACACGCATGTGTATATGTAGCATGTTTTCTCTATCATAAGTATGTTTACGTCATGATATCACCCCCCCCCCCCCGTCCATCCTTATCGGGATTTGTCAAATTTGCTGCTCTTAGAATACTATTTAACACTCTAATTAATCACTTAAATAAGTGGAATTATCATTTTTCTGTATATATTTTGCTATATTTGCCTTGGTGTCACCCCCCTAAATGGTGTCACCCGTTGCGGTGCGCACCCCCCGCCCATTCCGCTACGCCACTTCTTTCATGTGTGTTGTATGAGGAACATAAAACTGTTTGGCTCTAGCGACGACCAGAACATATTATGAAATCTTCTGGGTTTATAATGCCATATCAGTTAGGTTTCTAGTCAAGTTTAAGATTATGTGTATAGTTAAAGGTTACGGGGAGATGAGGCTTGATATCTGCGAACAGCAACTTGTCTAGGAGAGACAACTCTAAAATCAAACAACTGATGCCTTGTAGTTTGTTCTTGGTTATAGAAAGACTATGGAAGTAAATTAAAAAAGAAAAAACAGGCTGAAATTAAAGTCAACGGCCAACTTGATTCATAACAGGTTGACATATAAATACCTAATTGTGCAGACGGATATCCAGTCCAACATTACAATAAAAACGAAGAAGAAGAAGAAGATGTTAAAGGTAATGTTTGGTGCGAGAGTTAACTTGTGGATTGTTTCAAATTTAAATGATGTGCACAGATTGTCATTGTGATGTGGATGTTGGTCTAACATCTTCATGTTGACAAAAAAAAACTTTTTTTCTGTTTCTGATGTTTTGGCGTCTGTTCTAATTTAGCTCATCACGTGACCTTGATTGATACTTTAATGGATTAACCTTAACACCCTGGGTTAATAACCTTTTTTCAGACACTGGTC